AATGGATGATAGCAGCGACTAACCTAACAATAATAGCTATACTGCATGAAAAACAAAACTTGACAAACATAGGAGGTAAATATAAAATATGATATAATCCACATACAAACAATAATAAATGCATATGATGAAAGACTGGAGGTGTCATGAAAATGAGACTAAAAAAGGAATTAATAGAGCTCAGTTCCGCCTTCAACTTGTCGTGTGTGTTGTCTCAGGGAATCGACTCCTAAATGCGGATTTACTGCTGCAAAAATTTCAGGCTACGATACGGCCGAAGAACACGACGTAAGATCTCAAATGTAGAGGCGACTTAGCGCGCTTTATAAACGGATCCCGGCGCGCCAGGTCCGTGTTAGCTGCGGTGGGCGTTGTGCCACCTAACGAGCTGGCCCAAACCAGTGGCGCCCGGTGCGCCACGTTAAGAAGACTCGCGCCGTTTATCTCACGCGCATTTGACTTGGCTCAGCTGGTGCCACTGCTGCCGTGGTCACAAGACTGTGTTCCACCTGAAAGCAACTCGCGGATGGCTATACATCCGACGTAAAAAATGAATACGTGAATAAAAGGCGTGTTTCCAAAACCCAGCGGAATCCAGAACCTTGCCCAGCCCAAAATCGCATGTGTTCGGAACAGTTTCACAGTCCGTTCAGCTTCGCAGCTGTTCAGCTGTTCACAGCTGTTGTAGAAGGCATGACCCCCTGGTCATGAAGCCATGTATGAGCACACGCCGCTGAAGCAGTGCAGCACCGAGCCGTAGCTGAATGTGCCCTTAGATCGGGGCAGATCGGTGCTGAGAGCTGCGTCATTTTTTGGGGAAGGGCAAAATGTCAAATATACCACCGGCATTAGTGCTGGTCCGGGAAGGGCTCCTAAACCCTATCCGCATCGTTTCTCCAGCCCTGTGGTTTTGAGGACGGAAATCAGTGAGGTGTGGACGGGTTTCACGTCCAGTCGCTGCCCAGCACTGGGACAGGCTCATCGTCCAGTCGCTGCCCAACACTGGGACAGGCACGCGTCCAGTCGCTGCCCAACACTGGGACAGGCACGCGTCCAGTCGCTGTTCAGTGCTGAGATAGACGTACCTGGCAGCTATTTAGTCGTGGCAGCTATTTAGTCGTACAAGCGCGGGCCCGCACCGAGTACGTCAGATGCCGTTTCTAATCAATCAAGCGCGAAGGTGCTGATTCCACGCGGCGCTTGGAGAATTTAGCAGGATTACGCTGCATCCAGGGTGACTTCGCAATGTTTTCCATCTGACACAACTGAAACCCTGACAAATTGGGTAGTTATCTCCCTAATACATTGCTCCTCTCACGTAAACAATTTTTAGCGCTAGCATGTGGACGCCGCCATATTTTTGGCTTGCCCGGGTAAACCGCACTTATCAAAATAGATAAGACACGGCCGTCACAGCTGCGCGCACACATCCTGGTAGGCCACCGGTTGCTGCAGGACGTACGGTGCCGCAGCTGGTCACTGAAAAAGTGCGGATCGATGCCGAAATCCGGCCGCAGAATCCCGGCTGGCGTCGCCTGGCGGTCGCCGGCTTGATTTACGAGTGAGATGGCCCAGTGCCCCGCCGCTGGTTTTCCTGCCAGTCAGCGGATCAGCGCACTCCACTTTTCAAGCGCCGACGTCAAGATCTCGCTGCTGAGAGCCTTCGAGGCGCAGGCATGAGAGCTCGGGGGGTGGTCTGCGGGCAGCGAAGGCGTCGATGCCGCTGACGGGGTCTGGCGCGGAGCCGAGCCGGCGCCGTCGCGGTCGAGCCCGTCCTCGTCTCAGCCGCTGCGGCCGGACGCCGATGTGGCGTGACAGTGTCGGCCGTTGGAGCCTCACATGCTGATGGTCGGGCCCTCGTGACCCCGTCGGCTGCTGACGCCTGCAGGGTTCGGGCCCTCGTGACCCCGTCGGCTGCTGACGCCTGCACGGCCCGGGCTCTCGTGACTCCGCCGGCTGCTGACGCCTGCAGGGCCGGCCCCTCGTGACCTCGTCGGCTACTGACGCCTGCACGGCCCGGGCCCTCGTGATCCCGCCGGCTGCTGACGCCTGCACGGCCCGGGCCCTCGTGACCTCGTCGGCTGCTGACGCCTGCAGGGCTCAGGCCCTCGTGACCCCGTCGGCTGCTGACGCCTGCACGGCCCGGGCCCTTGTGACCTCGTCGGCTGCTGACGCCTGCACGGCCCGGGCCCTCGTGGCCTTGTCGGCTGCTGACGCCTGCACGGCCCGGGCCCTCGTGACCTCGCCGGCTGCTGACGCCTGCAGGGTTCGGGCCCTCGTGACCTCGCCAGCTGCTGACGCCTGCAGGGCTCAGGCCCTCGTGACCTCGCCGGCTGCTGACGCCAGCAGGGCTCGGACCACACACTTGGTGCCGCTCTTGGTAAATCGGCCCCAGGAGGTGCTGACCTTCGGCTAGTGATGAGCTCCCGTTTGTGGTACCGCTCTCTACAGTTCAGCAGTGGAAAATGCTAAAAAAGTTAGTGTGACCACACAAAGGAACAAGGCCATTTCGCTGGCAACATTATCAGATGGAGCTATCTCGAGGAAAGGTGGCGTGTCCTCGCTACATCCCAGCCTCGCCGTGCTCTCCACCAATGTTCAGCAGCGCCCGGGTGACCTCAAGAGGCTGACAGGGTCATGAGGTCTGCAGCCCTGTCTGGGAGCGAGCCGCAGTATCGAGACCCTCTCTCTCTCTCTCTCTCCTCTCTCTCTCTCTCTCTCTCTCTCTCTCTCTCTCTCTCTCTCTCTCTCTCTCTCTCTCTCTCTCTCTCTCTCTCTCTCTCTCTCTCTCTCTCTCTCTCTCTCTCTCTCTCTCTCTCTCTCTCTCTCTCTCTCTCTCTCTCTCTCTCTCTCTCTCTCTCTCTCTCTCTCTCTCTCTCCTCTCTCTCTTCTCTTCTCTCTCTCTCTCTCTCTCTCTCTCTCTCTCTCATCTCTCTCTCTCTCTCTCTCTCTCTCTCTCTCTCTCTCTCTCTCCTCTCTCTCTCTCCCTCTCTCTCTCATCTCTCTCTGCTCTCTCTCTCTCCCTCTCTCTCTCTCTCCTCTCTCTCTCTCTTTCTGTGCCCGTCACTGTCGGGAGCACAGCGTTCCCAGAAGGGCCTGCACACAGAAAGAACCCCTATCCATCGCCGACAGCGTGTCGGCGTCGGCGCCGAGAAGACAGCCGGCCGGTGGATGAGCTGGCTCCGCCCAGCGCGGAACGGCCTGCCGTAGCCGCTCTCACTGGACGAGTGCGCCGGTCCGGGACCGCTCGGGCCCGCCGCCGTACCGCTTTGACAGTCCCGGGGGGCTAGTGACAGCGGCGTCTGGCTCAAACCTGGCCCAAAAACTTTCCAAGCGGCGTTTCGCACAGATTGGCCAGCTTCGTATACGAAACGGAGAGGGCTGGTAGGAAAGTTGGGCTGAGGGATGAAGTGGTGGCTTTGTCCCCCACCCCACTGGTGGGCGAGATTGCGTCCCTGGTCGCGGGCATCAGGTTTACGGTTTACGGTTTACGGTTTACGGTTTACGGTTTACGGTTTGCGGTTTGCGGTTTGCGGTTTACGGTTTGCGGTTTGGCCGGAGACGGTGGGCCGAGAAAGGATTCGTGACTTGTATGGTACACGCGCATTAACAGTGTGTGTAAGATATTTGTTCCTACCTTATTGTCCGTTGACGCACCGATTTCAGACGAGCGACCCAAGTATGCCATGACAAGTATTAACTGATATATCTGGCGGCATTGGTATGTGGCTTCTTATCCCCCGCTCTCCAGCCCTGGCCTCATGAGCTGCCGCCTCATGTCGTTTGTGCTGCGGTACCGACGGCAGCCGGACGAGGCCTGAGCGGCCTGCTGAGGTCCGCCGAGCCGGCGCGGCGTCGGCTGACCTTCGGACGTCGGGTAGTGGGGGCGCACCCCTGGCGGCGGCGGCGGCGGTGGCGGACCGCGTCACCCCGACGTCGGCACGGCAGCCGCGCGCCCGGCGGAGGGGCAGCGGCGCAGCTCTCAGCTCAGCTCTCAGCTCAGTTCTCAGCTCAGCTCTCAGTTCAGCTCTCAGCTCAGCTACCGGCTCAGCTCTTAGTTCAGCTCTCGGCTCAGCTCTCAGCTCAGCTCTCAGCTCAGCTGTCGGCTCAGCTCTGGGCTCAGCTGTCGGCTCAGCTCTCAGCTCAGTTCTCGGCTCAGCTCTCAGCTCAGCTCTCAGCTCAGCTCTCAGTTCAGCTCTCAGCTCAACTCTCAGCTCAGCTCTCAGCTCAGGTTTCAGCTCAGCTCTCATCTCAGCTCTAAGCTCAGCTCTCAGCTCAGCTGTCGGCACAGCTGTCGACTCAGCTGTCGGCTCAGCTCTCAATTTTCAGCTCTCAGCTCTCAACTATCAGCTTAGCTCCCCCTCCGCTCAGCTCAGCTGACAGCAGTGGCCTATGAGCTGCCTTGATCATGGACTGACCCTGGTCCCGGCGTTAGTTGGCTTGCCTATAATACCGTATTAATACAGATTTACGAGCGACGTAGTGTCTGGCTTTTCGGTGAGAATACCGCATGGATACGTGGCATTGTACATGAGCTTTGAGGAGCTGGGGAACTGCCGAAAAGCTATGCGGCTAGTGCCCTATACTCCCGTCTTCGCTATGCAGCGCCATAAAACTATTGCTAGATGTTCTCGCAGAGTTGGAGAAGCAAACGCTGGGTTTTAAGAACATCTGGGGCACAGTCCTTGACTCCCGTTTCCCGAGCCCACAATCGTTAAAGCTGGTCCGATTCCACCCATTAAGTCTACGCATCAGAGGCTTACGGTTTATGATGTCACCGTGCACAATCCCATTAGGTGGTCATCAAAGCGTCCAGTTTCAGATAAGTGCACCGGGTAGACCATTGCAAATGCGTTGAAACCGCGTTGTCCAATGTCCATCTCCACCTATCAGTCGGTGTTGCCGTAAGTGCTGGCCGGCTCGCGTGTCCATGGCCTACATCCGGCCCTGCAGCTGGCCACGTGCCAGCTGATCCCGACACCTGCGTGATGGCGTTCCAGACGGCAGCGCGACGTACGAGGGGATCCGCCGCCCGGGGCTGAAGAAGATCATATCGTTGGGCGCCGACCTGTCCTCCAACCGGCTGGCGCAGCTAGTGACATCTAGCGGAGGGCTCGACAACCTCGCGGAGAGCGTGAAGCAGAAGCTTCGCGACGCCGATGTGGATGGTGTCGAGGTCAACGCGGATTCGGTGTCCAGTCGTAAAGATGTCAAGAACCTGCAGACGGTTCTACAGGTACGGTGAAGAGGGAGCTGTAAGCTTAAGTATCGCTTAGCAATGTGCTCCTCAAACGACTGCTGCCGCATCCCCAGACGTGCGGCCCTCTGTTACCGATGTGTCTCCCAGACGCCTTGTATGTTCCTCAGACACGTGGCCAGTAGTTGATGATATGTTCGTCACGTCTTGGCACGTTTTCATAGCACGTGGCCAAACCCTTCGTCGGAGGGTGCAAAATTATCTCGAAAACCCTGCGACTTTGGACCAAATCACCACAAGTCCGTCCATTATTAAGTGTAAATCTCTTTGGCTTAGAGTAGGGGGGGACATGGCCCCGGTGGCCCTTCCTTTTGCTACGTTCCTGCCCCCCCCCCCCTCGCAGTCAGAAATGCTTTGGGTGCATTGCTTGGCCCAACTGTCGGCTGGCAACACACCAACGAGGGGCAGCCCAGGCCCGCGGCGGCCGTCCCGTAGCTTCAGGCGGCACGTGCGACCCTCCGCTGTCCTGTAGAACGGGAGCGCCGAGGCAAAATCATCTGTTGCACTCGGTGGCACGACTTGGATGAAGGTTTCGGAGCATACGCAACAACCTTCGCTTAGTGTGTATTGCCAAACCCGTGCCACTAATGTAACCAGCTGTGAATATATTTAGAAAGAAGAAGGACGTGACAGACGTTAGTTGCGTTTGTCCCACTCATGTTCAGACGTCCACCCTGAACAGCGACATATAGTTCAAGTACCCGCCCTTATAAGCGACGTGTTTCATTTACCCCTGTATGAGCCATGACAGCTGCCCAACGCGTGTGAGTCCGCGTGCTTATTATGATGCGTGCAAACCTTATCGAGTCGTTGCCAGACAGGCGTCATCAAGAAGCGCTATGGGACCGAGGGTGGAGATGTCATGCTTTCGTCAGGTGGTGTCACTATGACGTCATTATGATGCGTGTTGACCCCATCGAGCCAGTGTCAGATGTGTCATCAATCGCAAGCAGCGCTATGAGACCGAGGGTGGAGATGTCATCCTTTCGTCAGGCGGCGCCACTATGATGTCATTATGATGCGTGTTGACCCCATCGAGTCACTGTCAGATATGTGTCATCAATCGCAAGCAGCGTAATGAGACCCATGCTCTCGTCAGGTGACGTCACTCCTACGAGCTCCACGGATGACATCATCATACGACGTCACTAACCTCCTGGCGGTTGACAGGCCCTGCGGTCGTCGTCGCTGGCCTCCGAGCAGCAGCTGCTGGTGCGGCTGCCGGCGGCCGGCCGCCAGCTGGCGTCGCTCGGCGACCTGAGCGGCATCAGTCAGCTGGTCGACCGGCTGGTACTGGCCGCAGACCGGCTGACGTCACGTGACCGGTCGCGCACGCGCCAGCTGAGCCGGCTCATGGGAGACGGCTCGCTGGACAGCGTGGTACGTGGTCAGGACGGGGAGGCGCGGCCGGCCGGCTGCATCGCGCTGCTCGTGGGGGGGGGGGGGGGGGTGAGAGCCGACGCGGCGCGGCGTCTGGGGTGCCTATGGCCGGGGGGCGGTGCTCAGTCTGGCGCGGCGCGGCGCGCCACCGTGTGCGGCTCGCCTCGCTGGCTGGAAGACGAGTCTTGGTCGAGGCAGTAATAACATCGACCAGATGCTAGAATGTCATGCGAATACGTTTCGCGAAGCTGATTTGGGGAGTTTGAAACAAAGGGTGCGGAAAGTGTTGCCTCCCCAATTATTACTCAACCCATTTTATCGACACCTAATGACGACTTACACCCCTTACCAGAGAGTCACCCAAGGTGTTCGGAACACGAGTCACAAGTGTAAAGGCAGCTCCGATTTGGACCCGACGCTGGTGTGGTGGCCCCTCGAGAGGCTACCAAACTCCCAGTTCGGCGCTCTGCCGACAGGATGCGCTGCTGGACCTGCTGCTCTCCAGAGGGGTGGAGGCGGGCCGCCTGGTGATCACCCTCCCGTCGTACGGCTACCTGTACGAGCTGGCTGATCCAGGGCAGACGTCACCGGGCTCGCGGCCAGACTCCGGCCCCGTCCGCCTGGCCAGGAGGGAGGTGAGGCGCCAGCCGGCGGCGCGCGGAGAGGACCGGGGGTGCTGCCGGCGCGCTGCCCGCGCGGCGGCGCTGGCCGGCTGCGGAAGATGACAGATGTGATACGGTTGGTGACTTTGTTGAAATGACGTTTGTTGGCAACAACGCCGTTCTATTTAACGCGCCCCGTTCCGACAATGCATCTGAAGCGTCGCTGTATGGCATTGGCGTCTTAAATCGCACGCAAGCGATTAGACAAGAGCAGAAATGGGAAGAGCCCAATCATAAGAAAAATCAACCGGTATTCGAAGCCAGTGGAGCTGCAAAACTTTAACACTTTTCACCCACCAGGGAGGAATTCACATACATGAGCTATGCCAATGCGAGAGCGAATGAATGCGGGGAAGTCCTTCGATATTTGATACGTGCACGTGCCACGCCGTCGCGACGATTACCCATGACCCATGTCTGCGGCCATTACCGATTACCCATTACCCATGGCTCATTACCCTTCACCCATGTCCGTCCCACAGGTCTGCGGCATGTTCAACTCTAGCTGGGCGGAGGATCGTGATGATGATATGACGTCACCCTACGCCCACTACAAGAATTCGTGGATCACTTACGAGGATGAAATAAGCACGGCAGTGAAAGTAAGTGACATTGGAATGTCGGCGAGGTCCAGTTGGATGCATTGTCTAAATGAGCTGAGATCCCATAAGTTCCCGAACGGGAAACCTACTACCCGTCACAGTACTGTGTGTCGGCTACCCCGTCACAGTGCTGCGTATCCGCTACTCTGTCCCTGCTTCTTCGCTGCCCGCCAAGGAGGGCAGGCAGCCTGCTTCGAGACTGAGCGTGGCAGAAACGCAGCCCAGCGCGTCTCCAACTACGCCTATGCCCATAAGGACGCAGTACGTCAGGGCCTAGTTCCCAGTCCATACAGTCACGCCTCCCATCTTCACCTCCGCTCCGCCTCAGCGCCCACGCGGCGTCGGCAGGCGCGGATCCGCCGGCTGACACACGTCCCTCACCGCCCGCCTCGCCCGCGCAGACGCATTACATGCTGCTCCGCGCGCTGCCCGGCCTGGCGGTGGACTCGCTGGACGCGGACGCCGACTGCGGCCACGGCCAGCTCGCCGACACCGTCGACTGGTGGCTGCGCTCGCTGGCGGACCTCTCGCGCCGCGACGTCCAGCGCCGCCTGCAGCTGCTGATGAACGTCGTCGAGCAGGACGTGACGCCCGAGGAGGCCAAGTTCCGCTCGCCGGCCTGGAGGCTGCAGCGGGCCGGCGGCGGCGACGTGCGCGCCGGCGGCTCCGTCTCCAAGTGCGCCGACGCCGGCTACTTCCGGCGCAGGGAGGTGTGCGGCGAGTACGAACGCTGCGTGCGCTGGCCGGGCGCCACCAACGGACTGCGCTTCTTCTACGAGTGCCCCAGTGGCATGCTGTTCGACGACAGGTGGGTGGCGGCCGGGGCGGGACGGGGCGCGGCGCGGGGGTCTGTAGCTGGCCTCATCCACGGTCGCCGGTCCCTCTGCAGAGTGTGCAGTCAACAACGCATGCGTTTGTTGCGGTTTGTTTAATGCGCTACGGCGCGTTGACTTCAGTGGTCATTTTTCGCTCATAATGAGCAACAATGCATCGGACTATCGAAGTAGCAAACTTGGCGATGCACTCATCCTCGTTACATGCCGTTCTCTCGTTGGCGTTAGCGATGTGCAGAGGTTTGCGCATCTTTTGACGTCAGCTGCGATGACACTGACCCCAGTATGCAGCTGTACGCCTACACATCGTCTTGTTTAATGATAAAATGTACCATGTAGCTCCGATTCGTGTGGGCCAAAGCCGCGCCGCTTTCGTCTCCATGAGCTCCATCGCAGGGCACATCGGGACCCCTGAGGTGCTTATCGATGCCGCTGTCTGCTCGGCCAGGTGGGAGATCTGCACGTGGGCGTCTGCCACCGAGCCGTGCGAGAACTCCAACACCGAGGTGCCGCCAGTGGAGCATCACGATGTGCCGTGCGAGGCCGACGGCTACTTCGCCGACCCCAGCAACTGCAAGTACTTCCAACTCTGCCGCGACTACTACAACAACGGCACCTTCACCAAGTTTGAGTTCAAGTGTCCGTACGGTCTGGGCTACGACGACGTCGAGCTCACGTGCACGTGGGCGTGGTTGGTGCCGCGCTGCGGGGCGTCGTCCACCATGAAGACGCCGTTCTCGCAGGACGAGCTGACCACCATGGCCTCTGGGCTACGTTCGAGCTCGGCCGCCGTCGACGAGGACAAGCTGCAGCGCTTCAGCGCCGAGCTGAGTGAGTTCGAGCGGCAGCACGACAAGCCGGATTCGCCGGCCGGCCGCAGCGACATGCAGGACAAGCAGGACGAGCGCGGCTTCCTCGACATCGTCATTGGCTCTGTGCGGTCGCTGTTCGCCAGCGCCTGGAGTCGACTCACGGGCGACAGCGACGCGCTGGAGTCGGCCACGCCGCCCACCACGCGCACACTAGCTGAAAGCGCGCTGGAGGCGCCGCTGTCGCGGGTGCGCCGCTCACCGCAGTGGTCCTACTTGCCGCCGAGCAGGGATTTCGGTACGGAGGTGTCCAAGCCGCCAGCGCAGACGGACGTGTTCCAGCTGCCGCCGCCGCCGCCGCCGAAGCAGGACGCAGACGAGCTGGACCCAACACGCCTGCGCCCTCCGCGGCCGGGACCAGGGGACAGCGGCGTCGGCGAGTCACCCGCTCCAAAAACGGGGCTCGGTGAAGTCACTGGGGACGGGGAGCAGACAGGCACACGGGTGCAGACGGGTGAGTCCGGCACTGGAAAGGAGCAAGAACCACCGGAAGGGGCAGCACCAGGATCGCGGGTGCCAATACAGACTACACCCGGCAAGCCAACCAAACCCGAGTATCCGGGGGCTCCCGGCCCATCCAGGCCGGGACCTCAGGTCAGCCAAGCACCCAGCGGTGCTGGAACCCCTGGCCGGCCAGGCAAACCCGGCACAACCGGACAACAGGAAACGCCGGGCACGCCCGGACAACCAGGCACCTTGGGATCTGGAGGTTCGGTCGGTACTCCGGGACGGCCTGGTGCACCTGGACGACCAGGAACTCCAGGAACTCAAGGCAGACCCACCACTGGAAGTGGTCCTGCCACGAAAGGTCCGTCTGGAGCTCCACGCAGACCTGGCACAGAAGTAGGACCTGGAACAGGAGGTAGGCCAGGAACACCGGGAGAGCCCGGAACAGGAGGCACACCAGGAACCCAAGGCACGCCTGGCATAGGAGGAAGGCCTGGAACAGGAGGTATTGGCATTCAAGGTACGCCTCAGACAGGAGGTAGGCCTGGAACAGAAGGCACACCGGGAGTTCCAGGCAAGCCAGGAACACAAGAAAGGCCTGGAACAGCAAGAAGACCTGGGACAGGGGGTACAGGAGGAACTCAAGGCAGGCCTGGAACAGGTGGGAGACCAGGTGAAGGTGGACTTGGGCCCGACAGTGGTTTCCCCGAGGGTTCCCGAGGACCCGGTGGCAGTTCGCCAGCATATCCCACCGGCTTCCCAGGACCACAGGGACGACCGGGCTCAAGACGACCAGGAACACCAGGCGAACCAGGAATACCAGGCAAACCAGGAACGGGGGGCACACCTGGAGCAGGTGGCATTGGCACTCAAGGTAGGCCTGGAACAGCAGGCACACCGGGAGTTTCCAGGCAAGCCAGGAACACAAGGAAGGCCCGGAACAGGAGGAAGGCCTGGAATTGGGGGTACAGGAGGAACTCAAGGCAGGCCTGGAACAGGTGGAAGACTAGGTGAAGGTGGACTTGGTCCCGACAGTGGTTTCCCCGAAGGTTCCCGGGGACCCGATGGCAGTTCGCCAGTCTACCCTACCGGCTCACCAGGACCGCAGGGACGACCAGGCTCAAGAAGACCAGGAACACCAGGCGAACCAGGAATACCAGGCAAACCAGGAACGGGAGGCACGCCTGGAGTAGGAGGCGTTGGCAGTCAAGGTAGGCCTGGGACAGGAGGCATACCGGGAGTTCCAGGCAAGCCAGGAACACAAGGGAGGCCCGGAACAGGAGGGAGGCCTGGAACTGGGGGTACAGGGGGAACTCAAGGCAGGCCTGGAACAGGTGGAAGACCTGGTGGCGGTGGACTTGGTCCCGACAGTGGTTTCCCCGAAGGTTCCCGAGGACCCGATGGCAGTTCGCCAGTTTATCCTACCGGCTCACCAGGACCGCAGGGACGACCAGACTCAAGAAGACCAGGAACACCAGGCGAACCAGGAATACCAGGCAAACCAGGAACGGGAGGCACACCTGGAGTAGGAGGCGTTGGCAGTCAAGGTAGGCCTGGGACAGGAGGCACACCGGGAGTTCCAGGCAAGCCAGGAACACAAGGGAGGCCCGGAACAGGAGGGAGGCCTGGAACTGGGGGTACAGGGGGAACTCAAGGCAGGCCTGGAACAGGTGGAAGACCTGGTGGCGGTGGACTTGGTCCCGACAGTGGTTTCCCCGAAGGTTCCCGAGGACCCGATGGCAGTTCGCCAGTTTATCCTACCGGCTCCCCAGGACCGCAGGGACGACCAGGCCCAAGAAGACCAGGAACACCAGGCAAACCGGGAATACCAGGCAAACCAGGAGCGGGAGGCACGCCTGGAGTAGGAGGCGTTGGCAGTCAAGGTAGGCCTGGCACAGGAGGCACACCGGGAGTTCCAGGCAAGCCAGGAACACAAGGAGGGCCCGGAACAGGAGGGAGGCCTGGAACTGGGGGTACAGGGGGAACTCAAGGCAGGCCTGGAACAGGTGGAAGACCTGGTGGCGGTGGACTTGGTCCCGACAGTGGTTTCCCCGAGGGTTCCCGAGGACCCGGTGGCAGTTCGCCAGTTTATCCTACCGGCTCACCAGGACCGCAGGGACGACCAGGCCCAAGAAGACCAGAAACACCAGGCGAACCAGGAATGCCAGGCAAACCAGGAACGGGAGGCACGCCTGGAGTAGGAGGCGTTGGCAGTCAAGGTAGGCCTGGGACAGGAGGCACACCGGGAGTTCCAGGCAAGCCAGGAACACAAGGGAGGCCCGGAACAGGAGGGAGGCCTGGAACTGGGGGTACAGGGGGAACTCAAGGCAGGCCTGGAACAGGTGGAAGACCTGGTGGCGGTGGACTTGGTCCCGACAGTGGTTTCCCCGAAGGTTCCCGAGGACCCGATGGCAGTTCGCCAGTTTATCCTACCGGCTCCCCAGGACCGCAGGGACGACCGGGCTCAAGAAGACCAGGAACACCAGGCGAACCGGGAATACCAGGCAAACCAGGAACGGGAGGCACACCTGGAGTGGGAGGCATTGGCACTCAAGGTAGGCCTGGCACAGGAGGCACACCGGGAGTTCCAGGCAAGCCAGGAACACAAGGGAGGCCCGGAACAGGAGGGAGGCCTGGAACTGGGGGTACAGGGGGAACTCAAGGCAGGCCTGGAACAGGTGGAAAACCTGGTGGCGGTGGACTTGGTCCCGACAGTGGTTTCCCCGAAGGTTCCCGAGGACCCGATGGCAGTTCGCCAGTTTATCCTACCGGCTCACCAGGACCGCAGGGACGACCAGGCCCAAGAAGACCAGGAACACCAGGCGAACCAGGAATACCAGGCAAACCAGGAACGGGAGGCACACCTGGAGTAGGAGGCGTTGGCAGTCAAGGTAGGCCTGGGACAGGAGGCACACCGGGAGTTCCAGGCAAGCCAGGAACACAAGGGAGGCCCGGAACAGGAGGGAGGCCTGGAGCTGGGGGTACGGGGGGAACTCAAGGCAGGCCTGGAACAGGTGGAAGACCTGGTGGCGGTGGACTTGGTCCCGACAGTGGTTTCCCCGAAGGTTCCCGAGGACCCGATGGCAGTTCGCCAGTTTATCCTACCGGCTCCCCAGGACCGCAGGGACGACCAGGCTCAAGACGACCGGGAAAGCCAGGCAAACCAGGAATACCAGGCAAACCAGGAACGGGAGGCACGCCTGGAGTAGGAGGCGTTGGCAGTCAAGGTAGGCCTGAGACAGGAGGCACACCGGGAGTTCCAGGCAAACCGGGAACACAAGGAGGGCCCGGAACAGGAGGAAGGCCTGGAACGGGGGGTACGGGAGGAACTCAAGGCAGGCCTGGAACAGGTGGAAGACCAGGTGGCGGTGGACTTGGTCCCGACAGTGGTTTCCCCGAAGGTTCCCGAGGACCCGGTGGCAGTTCGCCAGCATATCCCACCGGCTTCCCAGGACCGCAGGGACGACCAGGCTCAAGGAGACCAGGAACACCAGGCAAACCGGGAATACCAGGCAAACCAGGAACAGGAGGCACACCTGGAGTGGGAGGCATTGGCACTCAAGGTAGGCCTGGCACAGGAGGCACACCGGGAGTTCCAGGCAAGCCAGGAACACAAGGAGGGCCCGGAACAGGAGGAAGGCCTGGAACGGGTGGTACAGGAGGAACTCAAGGCAGGCCTGGAACAGGTGGAAGACCAGGTGGCGGTGGACTTGGTCCCGACAGTGGTTTCCCCGAAGGTTCCCGAGGACCCGATGGCAGTTCGCCAGTCTATCCTACCGGCCCCCCAGGACCGCAGAGACGACCAGACTCAAGACGACCGGGAAAGCCAGGCAAACCAGGAATACCAGGCAAACCAGGAACAGGAGGCACACCTGGAGTGGGAGGCATTGGCACTCAAGGTAGGCCTGGCACAGGAGGCACACCGGGAGTTCCAGGCAAACCGGGAACACAAGGAAGGCCCGGAACAGGAGGAAGGCCTGGAACGGGGGGTACGGGAGGAACTCAAGGCAGGCCTGGAACGGGTGGAAGACCAGGTGGCGGTGGACTTGGTCCCGACAGTGGTTTCCCCGAGGGTTCCCGAGGACCCAGCGGCAGTTCGCCAGTCTATCCTACCGGTTCCCCAGGACCGCAGGGACGACCAGGCTCAAGAAGACCAGGAACACCAGGCAAGCCAGGAATACCAGGCAAACCAGGAACGGGAGGCGCGCCTGGAGTAGGAGGCGTTGGCACTCAAGGTAGGCCTGGAACAGGAGGCACACCGGGAGTCCCAGACAAGCCAGGAACACAAGGAGGGCCCGGAACAGGAGGAAGGCCTGGAACAGGAGGAACAGGAGGGACTCAAGGCAGGCCCGGAACAGGAGGAAGGCCAGGAACAGGGAGTACAGGAGGGACTCAAGGCAGGCCTGGAACAGGTGGAAGGCCTGGTGGCGGTGGACTTGGTCCCGACAGTGGTTTCCCCGAAGGTTCCCGAGGACCCGATGGCAGTTCGCCAGTCTATCCTACCGGCTCCCCAGGACCACAGAGACGACCAGACTCAAGAAGACCAGGAAAGCCAGGCAAGCCAGGAATACCAGGCAAACCAGGAACGGGGGGCACGCCCGGAGTAGGAGGCGTTGGCACTCAGGGTAGGCCTGGGACAGGAGGCACACCGGGTGTCCCAGGCAAGCCAGGAACACAAGGAAGGCCCGGAACAGGAGGAAGGCCTGGAACAGGGGGTACAGGGGGAACTCAAGGCAGGCCTGGAACAGGTGGAAGACTAGGTGAAGGTGGACTTGGTCCCGACAGTGGTTTCCCCGAGGGAAGCCGCGGCCCTAGTGGAGGTTCTGGACGGCCAGGAACCGGTGATGGAGTTGGAGGTCCTGGACGGCCAGGAGCCGGTGGTGGAGTTGGAGGTTCTGGAAGACCAGGAGCCGGCGATGGATTTGGAGGTTCTGGAAGACCAGGAGCCGGTGATGGAGTTGGAGGTCCTGGACGGCCAGGAGCCGGTGGTGGAGTTGGAGGTTCTGGAAGACCAGGAGCCGGCGATGGATTTGGAGGTTCTGGAAGACCAGGAGCCGGTGGTGGAGTTGGAGGTTTTGGAAGACCTGGAGCCGGTGGTGGAGTTGGAGGTTCTGGAAGACCAGGAGCCGGCGATGGATTTGGAGGTTCTGGAAGACCAGGAGCCGGTGGTGGAGTTGGAGGTTCTGGAAGACCAGGAGCCGGTGGTGGAGTTGGAGGTTTTGGAAGACCAGGAGCCGGTGGTGGAGTTGGAGGTTCTGGAAGACCAGGAGCCGGCGGGGTTGGAGGTTCCGGAAGGCCAGGAGCCGGCGATGGAGTTGGAGGTTCTGGAAGACCAGGAGCCGGTGGTGGAGTTGGAGGTTCTGGAAGACCAGGAGCCGGCGATGGATTTGGAGGTTCTGGAAGACCAGGAGCCGGCGATGGATTTGGAGGTTCTGGAAGACCAGGAGCCGGTGGTGGAGTTGGAGGTTCTGGAAGACCAGGAGCCGGTGGTGGAGTTGGAGGTTTTGGAAGACCAGGAGCCGGTGGTGGAGTTGGAGGTTCTGGAAGACCAGGAGCCGGCGGGGTTGGAGGTTCCGGAAGGCCAGGAGCCGGCGATGGAGTTGGAGGTTCTGGAAGACCAGGAGCCGGTGGTGGAGTTGGAGGTTCTGGAAGACCAGGAGCCGGCGATGGATTTGGAGGTTCTGGAAGACCAGGAGCCGGTGGTGGAGTTGGAGGTTCTGGAAGACCAGGAGCCGGTGGTGGAGTTGGAGGTTCTGGAAGACCAGGAGCCGGTGGTGGAGTTGGAGGTTTTGGAAGACCAGGAGCCGGTGGTGGAGTTGGAGGTTCTGGAAGACCAGGAGCCGGCGGGGTTGGAGGTTCCGGAAGGCCAGGAGCCGGCGATGGAGTTGGAGGTTCTGGAAGACCAGGAGCCGGTGGTGGAGTTGGAGGTTCTGGACGGCCAGGAGCCGGCGATGGATTTGGAGGTTCTGGAAGACCAGGAGCCGGTGGTGGAGTTGGAGGTTCTGGAAGACCAGGAGCCGGTGGTGGAGTTGGAGGTTCTGGAAGACCAGGAGCCGGTGATGGGGTTGGAGGCTCCGGAAGGCCAGGAGCCGGTGGTGGAGTTGGAGGTTCTGGAAGACCAGGACCCGATGGTGGAGTTGGAGGCTCTGGAAGGCCAGGAGCCGGCGATGGTGGCGCTGGACGCCCCGGCTCGGGACGGCCTGGCGCCGGCGGGGGTGCCCCTGGTGGTGCAGGTGTGGCCGGCGGAGCAGGACGGCCGGGCCAGGGTACCCGCACGGGGGCAGACTATCAAGGCCGACCTGTCGGCGGTGCTCGTAGACCCACCGGCGGCGAAGGCGACAGGTTCAATGTTTTGGGATCCGCGGGCAACCCCAGGGTTGGGTTCACGAGGCCGTCCTTCGCACGACCGGATGGCGGAACGGTCGCCGGCAGCGGCCAGGATGTGGCGAGGCCCGGCTCTGATAGAGGAGAGCCATCAAGACGGCCCAAACCTGGCGAAGAACAGGAGAGAGAGCAGCCTACATCTGACAGAGGACAAGCAGGAGGAAGACCCACCCCTGCCGGAGGACAGGTCGGCGCGCCAGGAGCGGGAGGAAGACCCACCCCTGCCAGAGGTCAGGCCGGCGCACAAGGAGCGGGAGGAAGACCCACCCCTGCCAGAGATCAGGCCGGCGCACAAGGAGTGGGAGGAAGACCCACCCCTGCCAGAGGTCAGGTCGGCACACCAGGGACGGGAGCCGTCCAGAGCGCGGACCGTCCGACCGGAGGTCTTATTGACAGGTCCAAGACACCAACGCAAACCCCCGGAAAGCTGCTGAAGTTCCTTCGCGCGCACTTGTTCGGCCCAGGAGGCATAAAGCGGAAGGAGAACGAGATCGGTCCAGAGATCTGCGAGAGACCAGGTAAGATTGGTGCTGCCGGGTGACTGCGCTTTCCGCTCACCGTCGTTGTCTCGGCATTTTTGGGTGCATTTTGACAGATGCAACGAGTTTGCTGCAAGAAAAATGGATGCCTTTTGTGTGACCCCATCATGTGGTGCGGCGAACCCACACCTGCTTTCTTTGAATGCGAATTTTAATGCCGTTAACTTCCGTTTCGCCTCTTCTCTTTTTTGCACTTCTCTCCTGCTCCCGAGCACACACCGCTTGGAATTTCATTAGGCCACATCTGTCGGCGTTACACAAACCACGTCACAAACCACGTCACAAACCACGTCACAAACCACGCTGGGTGCAGCCGTCGGTAACACATCAGATGAACTAACTGAATGAGACTCGAACGCAGCTTCTCCGTGCTGAAGGAGCTAGGCAGATCGTATGAAGGGAGAGACGCCCGCGCCGAGCGGACGGCAGGCATCTGACCCTCGCCGGACGCCCGCAGGCATGTTCCGCCACCCGACCAACTGCAACAAGTTCTACGAGTGCTTCTGGGACCAGTGGTCCGAGCGGTACACACTGCACGTGTTCAACTGCGCGGTCAGGTGAGTGCAGCACCGCCCGCCTTCCGAATGGCACAAAACTGGTGCGGACTTCAACAGGGGCTTTTCACAGCATCTGTATGTGGGGGTCAGCACGCTTATTTGACGGTCATTGACGTGGCGCAGTGCGATGGGCAACACTTGAAACCTCATTGAGTCGTTATGCGGATGCAGTTAGTGAAAATGTCCATGGCTTGCGAAGGCACTTTACTCGGTGCCGTGAAAAAATCGCGTGCTGTTTGGGTATGCATGCGTGTTATGTTTCGCAAAGGTGCATCTCCCGCGGTCGACGGTCCGCGACATGGCGATGCCCAGCTCCAACAGTTTTGGAATCGTTACACTCTGTCACCACACGATTTAAGGTACCCCTTCCCTGTCTCCCCGACCGGCGATGACGTCACGATGACGCCACACCTCGCCGCCGCCGCTCACGTTCACCTCCCGCCGCAGGCTGGTGTACGACGAGTCCATCTCGGCCTGCAACTGGGGCTACAGCAACTCGGACTGCGCTGACCGGCCCGACGAGGAGCTGGAGCGGCTGCTGCGCGAGGCCGACCGCACCCAGTTCCCCGACGGGCTGCTGGATGGCTACCCCGACGTGCGCGAGTACCTCGGCCTCTGAGCCGACCGACCGGCCGGCCGGGGCGACCCGCCCGTCACCAGGCCAGCCCCGACGACGGCTCGCTGCGAGAGCCTGCTTCCCTGCGGGCACTGAGGCGTTGCGCGTTGTCCCACAGTATGTGGTGAGATGCGTGGGGCCTCAGCCCGCTCGAGTGCGCGAGGCTGACGCAGCGAAGCGGCGCGAGCGGCGTCTGGCGGCGCGGCGGCGCCCTGGCTGTGATAAGGGCGGACTATGTCGCTGGGCAGCGCGCGAGGTAGCGGCTTCACCGAGCGGCGCTGCAAGCTGGCTAACGTATGGTATTCTGACCGACTGTGAGCTTATTTGACAGCTGACTCGTCGCCCCCCTCCCCGCGCGCGAGACGCGGCCCGACAGCAGGGGTGGCAGCGTGGGTGGGAGGAGCCAGCGTTAGTCGCAGATGTCTGGCGGAGCGAGCGAATGCTGCAGCTGTTCTTGGAGACGTGTGGGTCGTATAGCTGAGGTGTGTTTGTTAGGCCAGCCTAATTTCGCTCGTTTCGGTGGCAACGCAACTGGAGAGTGGACGTTTTCGCTTTTGCAGAGCGAGTAAACCCTTGTGGGTTACCATTTCATCTGCTGTGGGCAGCTTAACGCTGTTTCTTTTCTACCACGCCGTGTATCTGTTCCGTGACTGTCATGGCGTCCTTTTAACGAAGTCCCGAGAACATGGCGGCAGTGAGAAGCATTTCGCCCGGAAACGGCCACCGAATGGATATTAGTAATAAGTTGTGGTAAAACGCAGTGCAGAATACATTGCATTCTGGACATTGCATAGACATACAGTTAGTTATGCATGAAGTAGGCATAATTTGGATGCCCTCCTGCGTGTCTTGTCTATGCATACAATCTTCTTGACTAGATCTTCGGGCAGAAATGGACTGGGTTCTTCTTCAATGCTGATGTAGGCATGGCTATGTTGTAAATAACCATCGGAAATCATAGTGTAGATCCATGGATCGTTTTGCAATAAACAAAGAGGTGGTTTCAAGTTAGTCATGAAATATGTGGGAGAACAGCTCACAGGTTGCCAGCACCGATCAGAAAAATACATCAGCTGCCAGTTGTAATAATTGTTGACAGTAGTAATAGCTTTATTCCTCAGAGAAAAACCGGGAGAATGGAGATACAGATACGTTGATATTTCGGCAACATCCGTTCATCGAAACGAATAGCAGAGGTGAACTCGCTTCTGCTATTCGTTTCGATAAAGGCACGCTGCGGAAAATCAACACATCTATATCTCCATTCTCCTGGTTTTTCTCAGAGGAATAAGGCGATTAATACTGTCTTATCTACGTGCACAGTGTTCCTCGCAAATGCACTTAACAACTCTCACGTAACTGCCAGTTGTCGCCAAAACACATGAGGCAACAGACGTAGTAGACAGACGTAGTCACCGCAGTCCAGGTCAAAGTACGTTGGATTAACATTGTCGGATGGGGCGCGCCTCACAAACCGCCGGAGTTCTCAGTAGTTTTCCGGAAATAGTCTCGCAATGCACGCGTGGCGCTGGGACTTGGAATTGCTGGGTTGTAGCCACTTTTGTGCTGTCAGCGCGAAAGGCGTGAAGGCTCCACTCAAACAGGCTAAGGATGATGGCATTTTTGGTGAGGTCATACCGGTCGCACCTCACGCTCAGACACCCGGTAACGTAAGTTCGTCGTAGAATATGCTCTCTGTGACGTTCTCGTGTCGGTTTGGTCTAGGTTATTAGGAACGTGATCTAGATCATTATGCATATTTTGGTCTAGATAATAAGCTTCATAGGGCTGTGATCCCATACAAAACAATCAGCTTGGTCATGGTAAGCCAGGTCGAGTACACCAGCTAAAAACGCTAATAATTTGACGTTTCCTCGGTCCCACACGAAATAAGTAAGTAACGGAGTTAATATCGCCCGCCATTAAAGGGAGTGCTTTACAATTACGAGGGGTTTTATGTAAGTAACAAAGTTAATATCGCCCGCCATTCAAGGGAGTGCTCCACAGTTACGAGGGGTTTTATGTAAGTAACGAAGTTAATATTGCCCACCATTAAAGGGAGCGCTCCACAGTTACGAGGGGTTTCAAGTAAGTAGCGAAGTTAATATTGTCCGCCATTAAAGGGAGCGCTCCACAGTTACGAGGGGTTTCAAGTAAGTAACGAAGTTAACATCGCCCGTCATTAAAGGGAGTGCTCTACAATTACGAGGGGTTTCGAACTGAACTAGCCATCACGAAACTCAATCGGTGCGGTTCACAGCCCAGCCTCACCTAAACCTCTCAGGTCCTGTGCTACTCGCCCGCGAACATGCACAGACTATTTCGGGGGGACTATTTCAACGTCACCCAGACATCCATAACGTCATAATAGCGTCATTAAAATCCTGCCATTCCATTGGCCATGCGGCGATGAAGGCGAAGAAAACTATAATCGTCGAGGCGTTTATATTTGGTGTTCGTGCGCGCGATTTCCAAATATGACGGCCGTGAATTGGCTCTCAATCAATGTTGTGCAGGGTACGATGACATAATCAACCAATAACGTATTAAGGAGAATATTTACTGCACAGATAAATTATGTTGTCTGGAGTAGCCTGTACGTGGTGCTATTTCATATCTGCTGTTTACTTCAATATCTTAAAATGTGGAGGATCCCCTTCCAGGCACAAGGAGCTCCACCGTTGGCATTTGCCGCTTGTTGATGCCATAACCGGCCGATATTCGGCTTCACCTTCACTTGACCTTTACCATGTGACCCGACACCTTCACTTCACCTTCACTTGACCTTTACCATGTGACCCGACTCGCCGCCAACAACTGACCTAGTGACGTATGTCATGAATTACATAACCCCGTTACGAAAACACCAATCTTCGCTTCACACCGCCGGGTTTTAAGCCGCTGTTCGTTGTTCACGACAGCGCTGGACATATCGCACAATATCGTACACGTCTCTTGTTTATTGACGTCACAGCACGGCGATATCAAAACACTGTCACCGGCCAAATGCGCACAAAGAGATGACTATGGACGGGCTATCCGAATCATGATACACCGATTCGTAAGTGATTATCTTCTCTTGGAGTCGTACTTCTTCCGTCCATAACACAAGTCGGTCTTGGAGCTTCCCAAATTGACGATTTTGGGGCAGCCGTCCATCTGGAAAAGATAACGTTCGCAGCCTGCAGGTCTCCCGCAAACTCCCGCCAAAACTGTGGCAAACTCCCGCCAAAACCAGTCCACGTTCACAAACACGGGTGGCTTCAAGCGTGTTGTATTCAGGTCTCAGCAGCCGGCGCCGGCGGACCGCCGCTGTCCGCCGCCTCCTCCACCTTCTCCCTCTTGTGCGGCTCCACCGGTGGCGAGGCCGAGTCGTCCCGCTCGCGCGCGCGCCGCTTCTTGCCCTGGTTTCTGCTCTGCTTGGCCTGCATCGCCTCATGCGAGATGCTGAAATGTCCGGGCCGGCGGCTCAACACCCGCCTGATCCGGTCGGCCGGCACGACTGACGTCCAGACCCGGGACATGAACGTCCCAGGACCGCCTCACTAGCCGGCACTTACCGACGGAGGCAAAGCTAGATGGCGGTGGAGCGCGCTTATTTACAGATGGATGTTATGAGGGGAGGAAAGGACCATAGTAACGTAACATTTCGGGATGCAGATGCATTTAAATTATTTGTTTTCTCCAACAAAGTTAGCACCCAGGACATGTTGCCGTCGATCGGTCAACTTCATCCCTTAAATCCATTACCGATTAAGGTCGAGCCGTCTTGTGCATTACAACGAACACCTCACAGCTTGTGCTTCGCTGCTGGCGAGCATATGGCCCTGCGTAAAGCATCATCACCTACAGAATCTATGAAAAAGCACACACTCGGCAACGACGTAAAATTAAACCAATACCAAAACAGCGTTTGACACCATAGTAACCATTACTGTTACCACAGTAACCCACCGTTACAGCGAGCCGCGACCTAGCGTATTCCCGGCCCGACCCGCCATACAGGAGTCAAAAGGGATTTTTGTGACTTAGTTTCTACTTTATAACATCGGCGCATCTGCTCGGCCGTCCACCCGCCTTCGCTACCCGCCGCTCACACACCTGGTCTTGGCGCGCGCTTTCGGCCCCCAGTGGGACTGCGGGTTCTGTTGGAAGCGGCGCAGCTGCAGGCGGCGCGACTCCGGATTGGCCAGCGGGTGGCGCGCGAAGCTGACGTCATCCGGCGCCGGCACGGCGAGCAGCGCGGCGGCCGGCGAGCCGGCGGCGAGGCTGGCGCGCCGCGCCGGGTTCAGCGCCTCCCACGCGCGCACCACCGACCACACGAACTCGGCCGGCGCGTCCGTCTTCACGGCCGACGCGTTACAGTGCGAGCCCGACACGCGGTGCCCGGCGTTCAGGAAGGCGGACCTGCGCCGGCGGCGAGCGCGGGTCAGACCGCGGCCGAAGCGCCGCTCACACCCCCCGCGGACGGCGCCCCGGCATCTCCGGCATCCTAAGCCCGCGGGCCAGAGGCGCGTGGGCTCAGGACTTCAGGAGAGACTATCCAGGGATTAGAGACTAGAGGCGCCAGCAGAAATTCCTCACGGACTGGGGACTATCAGGGCGGCAGTAGATATTGCACAGGGACTAGGGACTATCGAGGCACCAGCAGATTATCCAGGGACCAGGGACTTTCAGGGCGCTAGCAGAAATTATCCAGGGACCAAGGACTATCAGGGCACGAGCAGAATATCTGGGGTTGGGGACTATCAGGGCGTCAGCAGATATTGTACAGGGACTAGGGACTATCGAGGCGTCGGAAGACACTCTCCAACAAGCAGGGGCTTTCAGACCCCACCGGTCTACCAGTTACTAGCGGCTTAACTTTGACCCGCTAATTCAGAGTATCGGCCACACAACAGATAATAATGTAAGCTATCATACTACACCATATCACCCTGCAGGTAGAACGCTATCACGAGCATTCCAACATTGAATATGACATATACTGGTAATATGTATCGAGATATGGGTACGACGAGCAGGGGTCAGGGTACACAAATGAATGCCTCCACTTTATCAGTACTGCACTGTCGACAAATAATGGCATGTATTGCAGTACTCAGGTCTCATTCATACCTTTATTCCCTTCTCTAAAAGCACACGCTGGTGCCCGCTGTTCAGCCAATTCCGCCGCAGGGGAATGTCTCCGATCGGCCCCACAGGGCTGGCGGAGGGGAGGGCGGCAGGCTGTGTTGGCGGAGGGGAGGGTGGTCAGCTGGCAGAGGGGAGGGTGGCTGGCGGAGAGGAGGGGAGGGTGGCTGGCGGAGAGGAGGGGAGGGCAGCAGGCTGTGCTGAGGGAGAGGAGGGCGGCAGGCTGTGCTGGGGGAGGGAAGGGTGACCGGCTGGCGGAGGGGAGGGTGGCCAGCTGGCGGAGGGAGGGTGGCCGGCTGGCGGAGGGGAAGGCGGCAGGCTGGCGGAGGGGAGGGCGGCCGACTGCGCTAGGGGAGAAGAGGGAGGCCGGCTGGCGGAGAGAAGGGCGGCCGGCTGGCGGCTGGAGGGAGCTCACCTGAGGTCGAGCATCGGCGGCACCGAGAGTCGACACGTGCTAGCCAGCCGGCCGGCGTCGTAGTACAGCGGCACGTCTGGCAGCTCCTCACTGATCTGGCAGCACAGCAGACACGCACGTCACGTGAACAGCGGCACAGATACGGCCCCAAACGGCCAGACAGCGAGCAATGGCCCGGGCACGCCCGTCAATGAACCAGATCGCCAGATCGCCCGTCAATGAACACATCAGATCGCCAATGCGTGGCCGACTACTTAGGAGGCAAGGCCTTAATGTATGTGGTGTTCGTCTGTCTACACTGTTACTGTTCTTCACATGATTGGCGGTTTCTCGCTCTGCCCGTCCTCTGGAGCACAGCATGCTCTCTGGAGCCATACTCTCCTTCTAGAGCTCCGTGCTCCCCATGTGTCCTCCCGTCCTCCAAAGTTCTTTCTATCTCCGGACCCCCACCCGGTCTCCGGAGTCACTCCCTCCCTCTGGACCCCTGCACATCTCCAGAGTCCCCCTTCCCTCCCTCCGCCCCCACCCTTTATCCTTTCTCCCGCCCTCCGGCCGCCTTCCCTTCCTCCAGGATGCCTCCCCCCCTTCCCTCCCTATCTACGCACCACAGACAGCACGCCGACCATGCGCTTGTAGGTGGCGAGCTCGTCCTCCTGTAGGGAGTCCCGTAACGTGGCGACGAAGCCGGCGTCGTGGATCGGCGCCGACCACAGCGGGCCACACAGCTGCCGACGCATGGCACCCGTCAGACCGTCACACGTCACACGACAGACCGTCACACGCCAGACCGTCACATGTCACACGACAAACCGCCCCGTGTCACGCGACAGACCGTCACATGGCACGCTGGCATACCGTCACATGTCACACGACAGGCTGTTCCATGTCACACGACAGACCGTCACACGTCAGATGACAGACCGTCACATGTCACACGACAGACCGTCACATGACACGCCGACAAACGCCACATGACAGACTGTCAGTCACACGAACAGCCGTCACACACCACAGGACATACCGTCACACCATCAAACGTCATATAACAGGCCGTCACATGTCACACGACAGACCGTCACACGTCAGACCGCGCCACCTGCCGCGCCGCAGACAGCGCGGCAGAGCGTGGCCGCCAGCGGACGGTAGCTGTCGGAGCCGTCGCTAAGAGAGATTCTCCGGTCCTACTGAAGCTGGACGGCCTGCTGGGAGCTGGCGGTGCAAATGGCTGGCGCCGTCACGGGGTGCGCGCGCCCGCTAAAACGGTGAGGTGTCAAAACGGTGCCGCGCTGAAATCCGGTGACCTTTGGCACCGGCATTCAAGGCTGTGATTAATAACTGCAAAAACAGTGCCGCGGCGGACCGGAAGAGGACGTGCAGCAGCGGCGTATTCGCCACAGGGTGAGCGGCCACGTGCTTCCGTTACTCCGCAAGGAAGGAGACAACGCTGTACATACAGAAGCATTAGATGTCCGAGAGCGAACGGCAAAAAGCGGCAGTCACTCCGCAGATCTCAGACGCGCTTATGACCGGCGGCCGAGCATCGCCCCGCGCGAGCGTCGAGCGCGCGCGTCTCACGGCCCCACAGACGGACGACGTGTCCAGCACGCGCACAGACGCGGTGCCCGCACTGGGCTCGGGCTTCGACGGGGACAGCACGTGGCCACCCGAACAGCCTATCCCGATCTGACCCGCCACTCGGCAATAAGCCCGGCCAGTGACCATTCCCCGGCGCGCCTCCATCGCCTCCCTCAACGTCGTCATCGGGCTTTACGACGCACTCAGCTGCTGGGGCTGCATGGCGTCGCCTGCCTCTCACGCCGGCAGGAGGGCGGCGCCCTTACGTGGGTGGCGAAGCCGCAGTGGGGACACTTGTCACCGTTGGGCAGCGGCACAGCCAGCGAAAACTTGGGGTTGGTGCCGTTCCACGTTACGCGACACTTGGGCTGTAGCCTCCACGAGTCGCAGCCGGAGCAGACCAGCGCGTACGCCATCTTGCTGCGGGCACGCCAGAGCGGTTGTCATGACGACGAGTCACAGTCGGGGCAGGCGAGTGTGCGACATCCAGCTAAGGGCATCACGGGGAAGGGGACGGGCGTCCAAACACCCAACAGCCTTTCCGACACCGATTTCAATGAACAGAAAGCGGATCTTGAACGCTATCCGGCCAAGTTTTCGGTGAGGATACAATGTGTTATAAACACACGATGATGTACCATGACACGTGCAAAAGGGCGCGTCCTGATCGAATGCTGCTTCCCATTACAATGCAGCAGTCTAAAACTCATAACTCTACTCATAACTCTGCTCATAACTCTGAGTATTTCCATATCGAAGCCACGCAGCCTTACAAATGGCCAGCATGCGCAGTTTTCACGTCGACAATTAGCCGATTCTTCCACCACGGATCAGGACATAGCACAAGTATGACGAAGGCTAGACCTCTGTCACCGCCGCCTGACACGGTCGACAGTTGGGGCTACCTGGCTGAACTTGATCCACCTAATGGGAAATCTTGGCCCATTTGGCAGAACTTCGTCCACCCGGCATACAGTTTGACCCGCCCGGCACAAAGTTTGACCCACCTGGCCGACAGTTTGACCTTGGCGGCGGAGGAGCGGAGGCGCACGAACAGCCGGATATAGAAGTCGACGCTGATCGAGAGCAGCGGCTCGATGTAGCGACCGTAACGATTGGCGTGCGTCTCCACGCACTGAAGCGCTATCCGCAGCGCCTGGCGAGGTGGAGAACGCGGCTCACCACGGGACGGGGTTGACTCGTGAGCTAGGCATCGCGGGTTCGTGACCCACTGCCCGCTACTTTCGTCCCCCATTGCAGTCCGTGTGAACGATGATGTCCGCACACGTAGCTGACGTGGATCGCAAAAACAGCGGTGCTATCACGATCCAGAATAAACACGATAGCAAGCAAAAACTATCGATCAATGTAGACAGGCATTTTGCTGGCTACCGCTACCTCGGTCCGCGCTTCCACCACCGTAACCCGAGCCATCATCGATACCAAACACTGCTATGCGCCGGCGACTGCGACAGGCAGACATTCCCCGCGTCGCCACAAGATGTCAGCACTGACCATTTCGTGGCACATTTTGCTGCGGACGGAGACGGCGCCGTACTTGGCGTGGCACGTCTCTGGAGCGTTGCCGCACAGGATAGCCATGTCCGTGCAGGTCACCTGGAGCACGCCGCCTGCCCGACGCCGTGACGCGTCACACACGGCGCTCGGTTGGACGCCAGCTCGGCGTGTCGCCAGCCCCGGTGGCCCACGCGGCGCGAGTGAAACAGAACTACAGAAACGTGGCCATCGAACAGGCAGTAACACTCAGTTTGGCACAAAGATCGCTGGCTTCAATGGCGTTGGGATTGGGAGCACGGGAAACTATTTTGCTGAGAATCTCAGCGGCATGTTTTCCCGTGCTTGCTGATGCTCGTCAGCATCAGTAGACTAACATCTGATGCTATTACATACATGTCAATGGTTTCAGGTTATCTTGACCAACCAGCATTGCAACAGCAGTGCAGCCGAACAACCATCCAGCACCGCCGGCAGGTGTGAATGACATCGCTTTACGCCGCCCCTGATGTCAGCTGCAACACGCACCGCAGGTGACGTCACGACAGACGGCGCTGACGTCACTGCCTACCATCGCTGACGGCCTGCACGGCCGAGTCCAGAAACACGGCCGGGGAGCCGTACGGGTCCAGGTCGACCACGTCGAACCGCTCCCGCCGGGCGCCGTACATCAGCAGACTGCAGCAGGCCCGGAGGTGGGAGTGAGTGGCCGTACATCACCAGACTGCAGTAGGCCCGGGGGTGGGAGTGAGCGGCCGTACATCAGCAGACTGCGGCAGGCGCGGGGATGGGAGTGAGCGGCCGTACATCAGCAGACTGTGGCAGGCGCGGGGGGAGTGAGCGGCCGTACATCAGCAGACTGCGGCAGGCCGGGGGGGGGGGGGGGGGGAGTGAGCGGCCGTACATCAGCAGACTGTGGCAGGCGCGGGGGGAGGGAGTGAGCGGCCGTACATCAGCAGACTGCGGCAGGCGCGGGGGGGAGGGAGTGAGCGGCCGTATATCAGCAGACTGCGGCAGACCCGGGGGGGGGGGGGGAGTGAGCGGCCGTACATCAGCAGACTGTGGCAGGCGCGGGGCTGGGAAACAATGGCAAGATTATGAGCGGGCTGAAATTTCGCTCGTTAGCACACAACCAAATATGGGCTTTAAGTTATATCTGAACGAATCCCTTTTGAACTTGCCTGGAAAGGAATTACCTAGGTTGCCTTTTATGTTTCATCACATAATTTTCACCAATATTTGCCGCCCGTTTGGGTCACGCAGCCATGCTGTTCTCAAACGTGGCACGCGTAACAACTCAACGTATATAAATAACTAAAATTGATATTCTTAGTATGTCTTGACGGTGTTGCAGTGGCACTGCCCTGTGCTACAGTAAGACGTAACTAAACCTGAAGTTTTACTGGAGTATATTTTTGAAATATGTCCCAAAGGTGGGACGCGCCCATTAAAGATGGGGTCGGAACAGCAGGGTGGACGATGTTTCTATAATACACTGATCGCTTGGGGCGTACCTTGACAATCCAGGTACTGCGAGGTGCCCCGCAACAGTTCTGGCCACGTGAGGCGTACCGCGACAGTTTCGGTAACGTGATGGGTCTCGGCAGGTCCGGTACCGTCGCGTGTCTCAGCAGGTCCGGTACCGTGGTGTGTGGCGGCAGGTCCGGTACCGTAGCGTATCTCGGCAGGTCCGGTACTGTGGTGTGTGGCGGTAGGTCCAGTACCGTAGTGTATCTCGGTAGGTCCGGTACCGTGGTGTATCCCGACAGGTCCAGTACCGTAGTGTATCTCGGTAGGTCCGGTACCGTGGTGTATCCCGACAGGTCCAGTACCGTAGTGTATCTCGGTAGGTCCGGTACCGTGGTGTATCCCGACAGGTCCGGTACCGTGCTGCTTGCCGTGACAGTACCGGTACTGTGACATCCACAGCATCGTGAAGCGTACTGTGGAGTTAGGATGCCATGACGTGCAACGTCACAGTTTCAATACTGTAAGACGCACCGTTATAGCGCCGGTACTGTGGTGTGACGTGGCAGTGCTGGTACTGTGTGGTGTGACGTGGCAGTGCTGGCACTGTGAGGTGTGACGTGGCAGTGCTGGCACTGTGTGACGTGGCAATGCTGGCATCAGATGTGCCGAGACAGTTTCCGTGCCACGAAGCATAACGCGCCAGTTGCGCGACTACACAGTGTACACAGTGCACAGTATCGGTGCCACGCGGCCTACAGCGAGCGCCGCTGCACCGTGACTCAGAGCGGTGACCAGCACCGGCCTCAGCCCCGGGAACAGCTCACTCGCCTGGCGTCGCCCTGGTGCGGCTCCACCAGGCCCTCCACGCCGTTGTGCTCCACGTTGCGCCGCATGGCCTCGACGGCGGCCGGCGACAGGTCGTTGGCCACCACCTGGCGGAGGCCGCCCACCTCGCGCGCGAACCGACACGAGCGCAGGCCGGACGCGGCTAGAGCCTCCAGCACGCGCAGGCCCGTCTGCAACGGGGATCAGCGGCCTCTGAGACGACGCGGCCCGGCCAGGCCCAGCCCGGCGGACGGGGGCGGTGGCGGTGACGCACCCAGCACGCGTCACATCGGGCCAGCTGGGTCAGTGGTGAGGCATTCCGCCGCCTGGGCGGCAGGCATGTCGACATTTGTGCACGCTATCACACCCCAGGATCGGCGTTCCCTGTCAGTTGCTCCTCCCCATGGTCAAGGTCTGCCAATCAGCATCGAACCTGGGCGAACTCAGCATCTAGGCGTCTCAGGCTTGGCTAATTCGCTGGATGAGTCAGATGTCAGAGTTTGGGGTCAAAGGGCAATAGATTAGCAAACAAAACATTGTGGGAGTGAGGGGTGGGCCGCTGGAGAGCTGGAATCTTAGTAACACATTTTTTTGTGTACCTCTTGCAGATCCTACTGGTTGAACTTTGGGATGATGAGCCGAGCAACACGGTGCACTGTCCATGGGGCCCCTGCCTAAGAGTGGAGCTGTCAGCACTGCCAGGGGCATCCCAGGTACATAAACCCACATGTATAGCAAAAAAAGGTCTAAAGGCTCTGACCCCGAAGGTTGGGTGTGAAGGTCTGAAGGGTATGTTCAGCCTACCTCGCACTTGACACCAGGAGTTAGCTGGGGCTCCTCATCTCTCTTCATGCTGTCATCAGAAGGCACTGGCTGCTGCTCCACAACCCCCTGGTCTGGCTGCTTCTCCTGCTGTTCCAGTTCCAGTCCCCCACAAACAGTCAGTGGCTTTTGCTTCAAATCAAGCTTTGCCTGCTTGCTGCGCAGCTTCTCCTCCTTTTCACGGAGCTGCTCTTGGTGCTGCGTTGCCAGGATCCGCAGCACAGACACACTGCAAAAGCCAATTGAAGTGCTTTATGCTGGGAATGGGCCACATCACAGTATTGAGCAGAAGGCACGTAAGGTGCAAATCTTGTGCAAAGTGCACATAACATGGAAATCAGACACAGTTGGTTATGCTCAAAACATCTCTAAGAGGGACTACATACCTGTATAACAGATATTTAGCATTGTAATGGAAACAGCAAGCCAGCTTACCTGAGGTCTCTGTTGAACTCCTGCACAGGGTTGTAGAAAACATCTTTTGAGCTTGGAAACAGTACTTCTGCTTGACCTTCCTTTACAATGGTATAAGCATTTCTGTCCACCACTACTTCCGAGCGAGTCACAATGTTAGAAGCCTGGAATTGGGTACCAGTATTGTCACAATTCTACTGTTGCTAAGGACTACTCTAATAAATGCTTACAGATTCATCTCTTGCAGGCAAGATAAGTGAGCAAAAGTTGTGATGGGCATATCATGCTGAGAGTCATCTGAATCCAGCTCTACCATGACAACATGTTCTTTATAAAACACAACATTGGTTTCTATAAGAGCACTTTTGAAGCCACTCTAATATTGCCTTTCACAACCCTATTGGCAATGCCTATCATGGACTGCGAATTACTTTGTGCAGACTATACTGCTTTGGTTTCAAAAACATCCTCAAGTTCACAACAAGCAGAAAAAAGCATGAAGATGACATCATGTGTCAAGGACTTACCTTTAGCTTGTCCTCAGTTTTCATATCACCATCACAAGTATCTTCTTGAGTGCTGGCCATTTTTAATGGTGGTGACAGTGACAAATAATTCAAGTTTGTCAGTAGGAGTTTCCTGTGGTACTGGAGATTCTTGAACAAAATGCTTTTCATTTACTCATGATACCTGCAAAACTTCAGCCAATTTCTGGTTATGACTAGTTAGTCATGTCTTTGTATTGGCAAATTTTACTTGTTAATTGTTCTAAACAATTGTTATTGGGTAATAGCATAGAAAAAACCTGTGGTACTTCTCATATCAGCAATACCTCGCAAGTAACAGCATCACACCTAGCAATGGCTGTCCAGCACTTCCCACATAACTGAACGCCAATGCAAAAACGAAGCCGCAAAACTATCTCAAAAAAGCACTTGCAGAACACCCATATGCCACCAGTGATGAGGTGCACGGCCCTATAATTAAAAGATAACTTATACACAACAGATGAACCGTGTGCATGTCACGCAATCACCTACCTCTATGCCCGCCCCAAGCATAGCATGCATCACGCACGCCTCCTTGGATGCCTACATTCGGCACGTGTCTGCCTGCTCATAAACAATACAAATGTCAGGAAGGCGCCATACATGTCTCAAGTGTGAAACAATCCCTCATTTGCGTGCCATGCTTGCGCGCGTGTGGTCTAGGGTCCGTCTGTTCTAGGGCATTGGATCCGTCGCGTCCCATTCGGTTTCTGAGAAATACTCTGCAAGGTTCAGGGTCGTTGATCCCTTTACACGTTCATCGAACAAACGTACTGCGTACAAGACTTGTCTCGACTGAAGCTTGCTCAGAATGAGCGCCTCTCTAGTGCGTAAAGGGCTGGATCTTTTCAGTGAAGATTTGACGAATCAATCAGGTTGGGTGCCCTAAATCCTGTTTCATGACTGGTTGGGTATTTTCATTACCTCTCATTACATGCTGAAGTGTAATTGATATGTCCTCAAAAGGATTGCAAGGAAAAGTAGTTTCATCAATGATGAAGTCTATGGGTGTGCATGTAGTCAATTTTTTTGGTGTGTTTCCATAAATTGCCATCAAATGTGTTTATTTTCATGCAGGAACATGAGTATAGCTTATATAGAATTTGGGACAGCTTGAGAATCTGTCTTCTATGGTGTATCTAATGTGGCTACTAGTTCCTGGCATCTATGCTATATATTCACCAGATGCAAAATTAGTTTTGATGTGTGGGCATTTTTCATGCCAAGGGCTCTCCATCATTGTAATATATGATAAACCACTGCTCAAAAGAGCATTGTACAAGAATTCCCCTCTCTGGTTCATGTATTGCTCCAATCACAGGACATAATATCCACCTCTGACCTGGATGCAAATAGATTTCCACAGAGCATGTGGACTAATTGAGTGTGAACCAATGCATTATATATCAGATGATAGTTTTCATTTTGATGTGTGAAGGTTTGCTTTAATAGGTTTCCCTCTTTTCTTGACAGCAAAAACAAAGAAGGGCTCAAGTGCAGCATCTGGTTCAACAACTAACAAAACAGGACTAAAGAAGCTGAAGCGGGCAGAACAGAAACATAAACTGGGATCTGGTTAGTATACTCATCTCTTTTAGGTGTTCCCATATTTTGTCATATTAACTTCATACAGGTCTCTGTTGCAGAAGTTTACAGTTTACCTGGTTAGTGCATGGCTCATTTCATGAACATTCAGCTGTGCTGAAGGCATCACTTGAAGCTATGGTGATGATGGGCTTGTAGCAGGATATTTTGAGGGCATTGATGAAGTATCTTTTAGAATGCCCCTGTTGCAAATGCTTGCTCATTACATTCCTCACCCTATGTTTCATGTCACTGGGGTACCTAACCAACAATTTTTCACCAGCTCCTGAGCTGACCATCAAGGGCAAGAAGGTCAAATCTTCACTGAAAAAGTACAACCAGCACAAATCAAAGGATAACACAGAAGAAACAATCAAGTACCTCCAACTTCTCAGTAGCAAGAAGACAAATCCAAAGGTTGCAGAGCAGGTAATGTTAGGCCAGTATGATTTATATTTACTTGATGTAGTGTAGTTGTATGTAGTTATATTTACATGATGTAACACATAAGTCAGTGCTGCATGACACATACCATATGAAATAATTCAATTCTTCCATGCTTTTGTGCAAATATGCTGTCTTTGCATATGTTTGCACTTGTCTGTTATGCAGCCACTTAAGCATATACCTGTTTGTTCTATCAACATATGCATTTCCCAACATCAGATGTGATCCATCCCCCAGGTGGTTGAGTATCAGCAACGGCGCTCTGCTAGGCCTGTCCCCGCTCAGCAGAAGGCAAAGCAGCCCAAGTCTTGTTTCTCAGAAGAGGACTTTGCCCGATTCGAGCGGGAATACTTTGTTGGTCCGCGTAAGAGGCCGGCCGCGTGACGTGCCTGGTTCTGACTTCGACTGAGTGAACGGGCGAGCGCCTGACCGCTTCAGCGTCGCAAGTATAGCGCGCCGGTCCTACACTCCACGAGCTCGGCGGGGGTCGATCCTCTGAGCTGAACCAATACACCTGTCCGTCTCTATACGCCGGGGAGCGAACGCCGCTGGATTCGCATGATCTACCAAAGGACGCACGGTGCCACCGGTTAGCTCGTCGCGCGTTAGGAAGCGATCACCCAGCGCATAGCTAGCTGATCGGCGAAGCGTTCGGCGGTCGCCTGGCGCGCACGCCGTGCTCGCGTCGCGAGGGCGTCAGCCCCTCGACCTCCGACCCAACAGCTCCGACTCTGACTCGCTGAGTCTGCGGGCCGCTCCTGCACCCCCTCTCGTGCGATGGCCGGCTGGTGCGTGGCGGCGGTGTCAGGGGTCACATGCGGCGGCAAGACTACCGTGGCGCGCATGCTGCACGCCGCATACCCCTGGCTCCGTTGCTCGTGGCGCAAGACGACTACTTCCTGCCGGAGGACGACCCGCGCCATGTGCCGGCGCCAGGCGTCAACCACCTGAACTGGGAATTGCTGTCCTCGATCGACACGGGCCGGATGGTGACAGACGTGGCGGCGATCTTGGCGCAGCCTGCGCCGGCCGGCGACGCTGCGCCGCGCCTGCTCATCATCGAAGGCTTCCTTGTGCTCAACGACGCGCGGCTGCGCGCGCTTTGTGACGTGCAGTGTTACGTGACGTTGGAGCGTGGCATCTGCTGGGAGCGGCGCCAGCATCGCCACTACGAGCCCGCCGACGTGCCTGGCTACTTCGACGCATGCGTCTGGCCCATGTACGAGCGCCACCTGGCGGAACTGCGTTGCGTGGACGGCGGTCGAGTCATCTACCTGGATGGCGCACTGCCGCTGGACCGGCTGTACACGCGCGTGGCTGCTGAGGTGTCGCGGGCCATGGAGAAGCAGTGCGCCAATTGACCGAACCGCGCGAATGGTTGCCAGCAGGTGGGGAGTTGTTCGGTGACCGGGTGGCCGAGTGCTCGGTGCGATTCCAATGCTTAAATATGGCGTTATCTCCGGTTGTGGCGTCGTACTTAAGCATGGCTGTTGGAACACGCCGTACGCTCGTTGATTTAGTATATTATCCACGTGTTGTTTGGCAGGTTTGCCAATTACGAAAATACACATGCAAGATACAATCCGAAGAAGGGAGAGTATGTTTCAATTCGGTCTCAATATATGCATGTGTTTTACTCGAGTCATGCACCGTTTATGGGCGTGAAATCCGCTGTAATTTTGCTCAGACTTCTATGTTTATGCTCAGTACGCACGACAATTTATTTTCTGCCCCCCAATTATTGGTGCTGGTGGTGGCGTATTTTGTTTTAGTTGTTGCAGAGAAGACATAACTTAACACGACTCGGTGAACGATGGAGAAGTTAAGTGTGCCGTTGAAACGTGTTGAACTAACACGCGCCGGGTGGCCGGCTAGATAGCCCTCGCTCGGGTAGGGGGGTCACCTGACCCCCCTCCCTGGGATCTCGGAAACCAAGAGAGCTAGAGACACCAACCTTACAGGGTGTGCTGGCCTGTACATGAACTCACTTAGGTCAAAGTTTTAGGTTCCTAGATCACGACCTTCGGGTAAAATAAGCTCAAACAAAGTCAAATTCTAGTTTGGTCTCCAAAGTGCCCCGATGACCTAGATAACTGTTTCTAAGCAACAGATCACATGCCCCGTTAACGTCAGTGACCCTGTTTGACCCTTTGAAGGTTGTTGTGATCAAAATTCCGCAAGACTGCTCTGGGTTTTGCACATGAATAAGCGACGAAGATTACCCCAGGCAGTATCTTCCCCCAAAAAATGCCGACCAGGGTCACTTCAGGTCAATGACCTATTCTGACCTCTAAGAAGGCCATGGAAGATGTAAAATGCGGCTCCTGCTATCAATAAATTCGAAATGAGCACCAGAAACTATCCCATACAGCAAGCCCTAGAGTAATAAAGCAGGTTGGTTTTGACCTTGGTATGACATTTATACCTGACCTCAGGTCAAGGTTTTTTGATCATTCAATATTTGTGTTACCTAAGAAAGCATCTCAGAGATGTATGGCTTCGTCTAGCACTCCGTTGTTGCATCAGATTGAACGATTCCCTACAAATTGACTTCGCTGAAACCATGGTCTGACTGACCTGCCATATGCCAGCGACCTTACAAGGTTATCTAAATGTTCGATGCCAAACCATCCGCTATTCAATTGTCTACAGCCATGCAAATTTTGCCGCGGCTGCAGCGCGCCATTCGGAAGCCATTCTGAAAAACCTTCGGGGTCAATTTCGTCCCCCCCCCCCGAGCGCGTGTTGATGTGATAGCGCAGGGGTGTCGGCGATGGATGTCCCTGTGTGACGTCAGCAAGGCTTGTATGTGCTTCCATTTACAAATAGCTTAAAAGTTTCGAAAATGACGATGCTGTGACATTCATTGCGCCATTGCCGACGCCAGAACGTTCGGTGTTGTATTGCCCTGATTCGGCACGGCGTCGGGCACTCGGGCTGCCACAGTTGCTTTGGGCGTTTGTAGGTGCTCCTGCGGTATTAAGACAAGCGCATTTCTGAAATTTTCTCCTGAAATCAAACCCCGGGGTCTTACTTCGACTAGCAGGAAATGGCGAAGCACCATCCCGATCTAATCTTTTGCAGGAAGCAGCCTGGTGTGGGTAAGTGCTTGATTTGCTATCGGCAGCCATCGCCAAACAAACATTCAGGCTGTTTCTTTCAGTAGGGAGACACAAAAACATGCATTTTAGCTATGCCATCATTTTCATGGGCTGCAAAATAATGGACACAATTTTTGTGTGTTTGCAGTCATGTGTAACAGTATTGTGTTCATGGAGCAACTGCATTGCATTGTTCAAGGTAAATGACTGATAGCAGTTTGTCATCATTGACTGCTCAAATTGTCTTCAGTTCGTGCAAGTTTTGATGTAGGAGTTTTTTGCATGAGAAGATCCCCAGGACTGGGGCTTTAGGCTCAACACCTTTTGTAGGATTCCCTTTGTGTACATCATGTGTGTGATGGTGTCGCGATACTGTTGGAAAACGGTTGTTTGTGAATTAATCGGGAAGCCATTAATTTTATGTTGATATTGTATGCAAGATCACATTTGTTAATCTCTGACAATTTATTATTCTACTTTGTGTAGCCTGATTTTCAATGTTATTGATGTAACCACATTTTAAGATGCTTCTGTGACATCAAATCTGTAAAACATGTCAGAATTTGGCAGAATTCCATGTGGGCAGAGTGGAATCATAAGGCATGTTCCTGGACCTCTTTTGGCTGCTCATGCTATCTTGGGGCAGCTCATGGTGTCTCATGGCAGGTGCTGAACTAGGGCAGAGATGGGGTAGAATGAGCAGATACACCCTAGTGCATTTAGTACAAAGGACCTACAATCAATAAAAGCAAATGCAGTCCAAAGGCCAAGTGCATCAGGATTGTTTCAACTGTGTCATAGTTGTCTTGGTCAGTGCTTTTTTATCCAGTCTGGTCCTGCATGTGGCTGCTGGCACAGTGCCTGTATACATGGACCCACTGATAAAATTAAAGTGCTTGGAGTGATATATATATATATATATATATATATATATATATGTGTGTGTGTGTGTGTGTATATATATATTTGAAACAAAAATATGGTGTAAACATGAGACTTTTTGCTCATGCCAGCTTCCAGTGTTTGCTCTGAGCAGGTAAACCAGCCACAAATTTCTTTATCCTCTGTGTTTTTTATGAGCAGCATCATGGAGGTTTGAAACTCACTTTGTGGATTTTTGCTTCCAGGAGTGTACCTGCCCCAAATGCCTTATTGGCTGGTCTGCCACCTTTTGCAGACTGCTGTTTCATTGTATACAATATCAACAATGCCCATCTTTTTTTCATATTTGATGTTTGAAACTTGGCAGAAATTGTCAGTTCTTACCTTTGTGTGAAATGAGACTGAGTTAAGCAAGCTCTGGGTAGCGGCATGGCTTGAGCTGCAGCACATACATTTTTTAGTTTAAGTTCCAGCAAGTGAAAGTGTTGTGAAAGCATACCTGAAGTTTCATGCAGATCCATGCAAAATTTTCAATTCATGTGGACCAAGTTTATTTGTGACATAAAGGCTAGATGATGTATGGCACAGACCAAAAAAGTGTCATACAGACCAAATGTATTTGTGACATAATACCCAAAAATCAAAACTATAGCAATGATGTCCCTAACATTGATATCTCTAGTGGTATGCATCAGCTGCCCATCAGCAGATTGTCCATCACTCCCGCTCCCTGACCTCTCACCTCCTGCCGCCCGACAGCCATCGGCCGCCTGTGCGAGAAGTGCGATGGCAAGTGCGTCATCTGCGACTCGTACGTGCGACCGTGCACCCTGGTGCGCATCTGCGACGAGTGCAACTACGGCTCGTACCAGGGCCGCTGCGTCATCTGCGGCGGGCCCGGCATCAGCGACGCCTACTACTGCCAGGAGTGCACCATCCAGGAGAAGGACGTGAGTGCTGGGCCGGGCGGCGCTGCGCGGCGGGATGGTGACGTCTGCGGCGGTGGCATGCTTGGTTGGCCGGTGTTATTGCGTGGAGGTTTATCAAATGGGCCTGTCACAAGAGTTGCTTGATGTTAATTTTTCTTGAGTGAGCAGAAAAACACTACCCAGGTGAAGGGTTAAGACCCAGGAAGTTTGAAGCACGAGATATGTTGCGCCTCTTTTGAGCCTTGTCCTTCGAGATCAATTGACGTCGTAGATCAAAGGAACGCTATAATGGAAGTGCCACCTTTGCACCACAAACTCATGTTTCATGAAAGCCAGAACTCCGCAGAATTATTGTGGTATAAAAAAACATCTCCAGGCAAAACATAGTGGCATCAAATTGGGGTGGAGTGCTGCAATAGTCTGCATGTTTGCTTGAGAAACTGTTTTGGAATATGCCCAACGTTATAAGCCATTACCATATATCATGCACAGGAAATTGAGTCATGTCGAATTAGGAATCTGGAGGTCTCATACCAGACCGTAGCAGGTAGGTCGGCCACGCTTTCTGTTTCCTCGTGCTTGACAGCCCACGTTGTGCCCAGTCGGAAAATGCCCGAACGTGAACAGGTAGGGTGGGGAGGGGTGGGTGGGCGGCAGGAGATTCTGTGCGTGCGGTCAGATCTGAGGAAGTCATCGGGAAAGATGGTGGAAGTTCTGGGCATGGTAAAGTCAAGGATAACTGGCTTGTGCGGAAAGGAGGGGGTAAGTTCCGCGCTATGCTGTTTGACCGTTTGGATAAAAATGCTGCTGTAAAGTGATGAGCTGTAAACGTAGCGGAGCGTACATGTAAACGGTGGCGTAACTTTATTCCGGTTTTAATGTCCTGTAAAGTGATGACGTTTAAACACAGCGTCGTAGCTGTATTCCGGTTTTATTGTCCTGCAAAGTGATAGCATGTAAACGCAGTGTTGTAGCGCTATTCCTGTTTTAATGTCCTGACAGTCAAACGTTATCTTTTCCAGAGGGACGGCTGCCCTAAAATCGTCAACTTGGGAAGCTCCAAGACCGACTTGTTTTATGAACGGAAGAAGTACGGCTTCAAGAAAAGATAATCACTTACAAATCGGTGTATCATGATCTGGATGGGTCGCCCATAATCATCTCTTTGTGCGCATTTGGCACGTGACAGTGTTTTGACATCGCCGTGCTGTGATGTCAATAAATGACAGACATGCACGGTATTTTGCGATATGTCTTTTTTGAGAACTTCGGTGATCAGCGAACAGTGACTATAACCCGAGCGGTGTGAAGCGAGGGTTGGTGTGTTCGTAATAAGGTAATGTAATTCATGGCATGCGTCACTGGGTCAGTTCTTGGCGGCGAGTCGGGTCATGTGATGAAAAACAAGTGAAGGTGAAGCTGAACATCCGCCATTTATGGCATGGACAGGCATAAAATGCCAACGCTGCATCTCTTTGTGTCTCGAAGGGAATGTTCCACATGCTGAGATATTAAAGCAAGCATCATAAGTGATGAAATAGAATCACTTGCAACTATAAGTGTGCTTACGGCGAAAGGCTGCTCTATACAACATATAATGTCTGTAAATTGTGCTCACGAACGCCAAATTTGAACGATTCGACAAGTATACTGTCCCCTGGCATTGCTCGCTGCATTGGCAACGAAGTGGCTGGATTGAATTACGTTGCCATGGCCCTATGGATGCCTTGGTGACCCTGAAATAGCCTCCCGGAAAATTTATGCACATCATCTTGAGCGCGTAGCTCAGAAGCTAGAAGTGTGTAGGTCTCGAGAAGGGCAGGCATGCGAACTGTACCGGGTGATGTTTTAGATGGCTATTCAGCTCAAAATCACATACAATGTGCAACACTCCCTTTAATGTATTGGTGTATAAGACACCGGTGTATATGATAAAAACTTTGAAAAAACCGAGGGACTGGGAAGTACGACAAAGTATCTTGTCGACTTTGGAGGGACATATTCCACATGGGAAAGCATTGCGGCAAGTCTCAAATGCGGTGAAATAGGTTCACTTCAAAGTTTTGGCTTGCTTTTAAAAGTAAAAGACTACTCTTAACAACACAGTTTCGCTATGTAATAAATATGATCTCGTATACGACAACGTTCGATTACGCCATAGAACGTCTTTACGTTGTCAGAGTCGCTGCCAGACAGGCCGTGTCAGAATTGCCACTGTAGCGGACTGGCTGACTCACTTGTAGTACTTCAACTTGCCGAAAGGTGGGGATGTATAACGTGCGCTATTGCTGAAACCGAATATCGTTATATCCGCGTGTTTTGGCCTTTATGATGGTGTTCTGTAGTTGTCGGTGGTTTTGTGCTTCTCATATGCATTCACACACTGGGTTGCGACGCTACTCTTACGTTATCCGATTCCCAGTCATAGTTTCGTTATAGCTAGCGTCACTCCCACATTTCTGTATTACGTAACACAAAACGCGGCTCGTCTTCAAAACTTGCACTCAATGCATTTAATCGGTTGCAGACCAACCGATATCCGTGGATGCCGCGAACTGCTGACGCATGCCAGACACGAACCATTTGAATGGAATCATGTCATTTTTTAATTCAGTCGCGAACCGATTCATGTTTGTTTCGACCTTCAGCACTAAGTGGCCCTTGAGGTGATAGTATTCGCGTTACGTTCCTATGACGTCATGTATGTCTGGAAGCCCTTTGACCTTTAAATAGGCTGTGCAAAAAGTCGGCGGGAGCTAGCGTGCGTCAAACTAAGACGTAAAGAGAAGCTTTAAGAAGGACGTAGCTGTAAATTGCATTGAAAGATCTTCAAAATGGCTTTCTAAGCTCGAACCCCCGTACAAATGTGAAACACTCCCTTTAATTGTATTGTCAGGCGGACAAAAGAACCCGACACTCATCATCAGCGCTTTCACGAGCATATGTCAATCTGGTAGGTGGGGCGTGGTCTGGCAGAATACCCTCTGTAATCACTTTTCCTTTACCCGAGGTAGGGAAGCAACTGGTTGATGGGAAGCCATCTTCGCCAGACACGGTTCCGTAAGTTCCGTAGTAAGCCTCCTTTGGTGATGTCTGTAATGCGCCGAATCCGTCCATGCAAGCGCGCAGCCTGGATTTAGTAGCAAGAGGTCCCAGATTTTCAAAGGGACATCACTGGCCGTCCGGGATTCCACCGAAATTTTCTGTCTGGTTTTGCCAATCGGTTGCGTGTGTGTGTATGGTGGAGGGGGGGGGGGGAAGGGAGGGTAATAGCTTGGGGGACGAGGCGGCGAGCGGCATTGTTTGCTAGTCAAACTACCCTCGCCACCTGACATGTCATGTGATGTCATGTGATGTCATGTTTGACGTGAATTGACATGTCATGGTCCTGCCTCCTGCAGAGCCATGATAGCGCTGCTCTGGAATGGCAGGTCCGTCTTGAAGTCCTGCGCAATCTCGCGCACCAGGCGCTGGAGCGGCACCTCGCGAATGAGCAGCTCCGTGCTCTTCCGGCAGCGACGGATCTCGCGAAGAGCCACCGTGCCCGGACGGTAGCGGTGAGGCTTCTTGACGCCGCCGGTGGCCGGTGCGCTCTTGCGAGCTGCCTTAGTGGCCAGCTGCTTGTGCGGCGCCTTGCCAGCGGTGGACTTGCGTGCTGTCTGCTTTGTGTGCGCTAAGCGCTACCTCGAAATCGCGAATAAGCAAAAAAAAGAAGAAACTTAACGGTGGAGTCGTCGCTACCGGTCGTCTCAGTATGATGAGGGGTGTAGGTGCCAGGGCGGGAGCAAAATTCGGCACTATTTCTGAAAGGTTAACATTGACCTCATGGGCGTTGACTGGAAAGGAAAAATAGAGTGCCTACCGCATCCAACCCAATCTCTTCTAACATGGGGAAATCCGTTCCGGCGGCCATGTGAGGTTAGTACATATATACTACTACTGATGAGCCCAGCTGCGTTGTGCGTAAGGCTCTTCGGTATTTGTTGTGAAGGTCTCGTACGATTCAATCCAACTATTTAACAATACCACAGTGCGCTTTGAAAACCCGGTGTAAAAACAAATAAAAGGAGTGGCTATGGGCAACCACTGTGCACCTCTCTCGCTGTATCCTCTATCTGCTGAGCTCTATTCTATGCTCTGCTATGCTACGACATGCTATGGCATTTGATGTAGTTAAATGCGTGGTCTAACACCAGAGCTGTGCTTACGTTGCATCGATGACATTTTCGATATCTGGATCCGGGAGCTGAACCAACTGTTGGATTTGCTTGCAAACACAAATTACCGCCATCTGTACACCACGTTTACTCAGGAATGCACCGCTTAAAACGTGCCGATTCCATTCATTGACCCTTTTGTGATATTACCAGATGGAAGCCATACCACGAGACTATTTCAAACCCATGGCTGCTCCCGTCGTGCATACTCATCATCATTCGGCACACCCCCATGTCCACTAAAAAAGGGTCCTTTCATCACAAATGCCGCGAGTGATGCGTGGAATGTGCATACACCTCCCATTGCTTGAATTAAGGATGCCCCTCCTCCCCTCTCCACCCATCCGCTTTTTACAACGCATTCGGGTTACACCACGTTTACTCAGGAATGCACCGCTTAAAACGTGCCGATTCCATTCATTGACCCTTTTGTGATATTACCAGATGGAAGCCATACCACGAGACTATTTCAAACCCATGGCTGCTCCCGTCGTGCACACTCATCATCATTCGGCACACCCCCATGTCCACTAAAAAAGGGTCCTTTCATCACAAATGCCGCGAGTGATGCGTGGAATGTGCATACACCTCCCATTGCTTCAATTAAGGATGCCCCTCCTCCCCTCTCCACCCATCCGCTTTTTACAACGCATTCGGGTTTGAGCCGCTTCTGCATGGCATGCAGAAGTCCCGCTGCGATGCAGTGTACCGCATCGCTGGTACAGACTGGACCCTGAATAGCGCATTGGAGGGGCCAGCCCTTTCCAGAATTATTTGTGTTACGCGAGGTTTTTCCATACCTTGTTAGTAAGGTCTGTTGATTTTTCTTGTTTCATTCTAGGCGGCATATTCATACTGGCCACCATTTACTCACGCGGGGGAATTTTCCATTCGCCATTGCTTAGGTTTCTTGATAGATGCCTTATTTTTATTTTTACTCTCAGGTGGTATCTCTTATACTGGCCGCCATTGTGGTACGCGCGGTTTTCCATATCGTTGTTTCCCTCAATTTGACCTCTGCCGTCCGCCTAAGTCGGAGAGAATGCTGGCATTTTTTGCAGTATTGTCATGGTCATCCGACGGGATTTTCGCCGACGCCAAACGGCGATCACGAGATCTCTATTGCCCATCATGCATATAAGCAACAAGCGCCGTGACTGACCCAATAATTTAGATGAAGTTCCTGTACGGTTTTTAAAGTTACGTACTCGCGCATGATGTTGTTAAATGCATAATATTTTGAACACGCTACGAATACTTATAACCGAGGCAATTGGACCACTCCGTCGGAACAACGACGTTTAAGAACATATTGTAACTCCGCCTATCGCTCTATCCCGAAGGGCGGTCACTGCAGGCCCACAAAAGTATAGAAAAACCGACCGTACGCACTAATAATCAACCTCACAACAGAAAAGCTCCTTGAGAGTAATTTGCCTACCGGCAATAATCATATTTCGTTGGATTTGTCATGCATGTTATTGTTAATAGCAGCTGTTGACTAGTTGGTCCACTGCATTCAGCCATAGGCAATCATCATCGATGCAATTCCTTGTCATAATCCGACTTACTGGGGCGACCGCAAATGATCGGAAAAACATTTTCTCACCGACATTACATGGGCTTTTACGAAAAAAAAATGTTTTCGTCCTAACATGGGTAGCAAAGGTCACTTTACTGGGACTCCGCGACTGACAATCATACATCCACATCGTCTCATGCATGCTTGTCACCGGTCATGTCAAAGGGCGTCGTAGAGTGTGGTCACTACACACAATCTGCGAAGGTTGTGTGTCACGATCAGATCCCTCGACTGAAAGCTGAACCGTTCAGCCATACACCACGCATTCCTCGGAATTTAGCCCCGTTAAATAACAATCGCTTGGTGCAAGGCTCACCGCGGCATCAACCCCCTCCCTCCCCTCCCCCCCCCCCCCCCCCTGCGTAGCCCCCATCCTCTATCGCCACTGCACTATGCCGGCATCACCCGTCGGCCAGCCGGAATTCCCCATCGGCTCACAGCACTCCATCGCTTCCCGCG